TGTAAAGCTTAATGAGGGAAAGGAAGAAAAGCAGAGCTTAAGGCAATCATATAAAATTATAATCTGTCAGATGATATTCCCTGGTCTATGTGTGTGCATGTACCTGCACATGTGCTATTCTAGGTACAACATATACTATATCTATAAATTTAATATATAATATATATAATTTTTATATTTTTTAAAATATATATACTATTTTTAAATCATCCCAAACACTGCAAGGAAGTCATGCTATTACTGTTCATATTTATAGATAAGGATATGTTTGCTTTTTTCAGGGGGTACCGGGGATTGAACTAGGGTCCTTGCACTTGCAAGGCGGGCCACTGAACCGCTGAGCTAAATCCCCGGACCCTATAGATAAGGATATGAATGTAAAGTGAATGTACTAACTGGCCAGTTCCAAAGCCAGAAAGCCATAGAACGAAAATTCAAACCATGTTTTTTAACTAAAAAAATAATGTCTTCAATCATTAAACTGTTGTAACTCCTATAAAAATAACCAGCACTAAATCTATCTTGTCATAAAGCAAAATCCAACTTGAGTCTCTGACACAGTTCTTTCTCTTTGTAAGTTGGAATGGGGTAAGACAAAAAAGAACTCATATAGTCAAAATTGTCTCCTTTCCCCTAATTCAGTTTCTAAGAAATGTAATAATGTAATAAATCATTCCTTTATAACCCAATAGCATGTACCTTTGGTAATACCTTTGAAGGTGTAGCTTGCTGAGTCACCTCTACCAGTTTCTGCATCATGAGTTTTGGAGGAAGCCTTCCATATGATTACAAACCAGACTCACAGCTGCTTATCTTAGAAGACTTGACAAGGTCACAGCTTGAAATGGTATGACTGCATTATAATTAGAGATTAAGTGAAAATTTATTCAATTTAATCATTCAAGAATAGTTTGCCTGTGTCTGTTATAAATAACGAGATACCATCCTTGCATATTATTTTAAAACCAGACTATGTTTAATTTTCAGTGACATATTTATGCTTCTTGATAAAGATAATGTAAAGGATAT